GTGTTAAACGACTTACGACTCGTTCACCTGATATTTTGATGAATCAACTGATTGTTCCGTGCGCTTTATATGTATTGACAAAAAGGCACGTGCAGAAAACTATTGTATAATACTGTACCTGAATTGGTTTTAGATCTTTGTTTATAGTTGTGGAAAATGTAATTAATTAAATGTAAAACAGAGACGTTGATTGCTCATCCAGCACTCACTGATTCACTCCAATCACTTGAAGAAAATTTTATCTCTGATCTCTTACGTATTTACGTATGATGAACTTCTTTCGCACCGTACTTAGCCAACCGTGCTAATCGGAGCGTGCGATTACAACTGTGATAGTGCCGTTTGTTGCTGACCGCCTGACAGTGTTGGCCTTTTGGGTCTGTGCTCAGCAACTGTGATAAAACATATATTAACGAGAATGTGTTTTGTTTACAGCAAAACCTCACTTGGAGGATAAAGAGAGCACTGCGGAGGGAGGGGCAATGCTACAGAGTTCACACGTGGATCTGGATTTGGCACGGCTATTGCAAAAGTTTCCAGCTGACAAGAGGGAAGCCGAGTACACACAGGTACTGGTAACAACTGATTATAGTATTGTCATGTATCCTTTATACCAGTTGAGAGCCCATCGAGATCAAGTCTTTAACGTGTAAATTGCGGCGGTGGCGTAGCCCAGAGAAAGTGCATTCATTGCAGAGGTTTGCGGTTTTTGTGTTTCAGAATTGCTTTTCGTGTTTACAGACTTAGTGCTGCTTGGAAGCATACCTATACTTCCATAGAGATTACCTTTGCTACGGCTATTTTAGTACGAACAATCGACAGGAAGTACCAAGAATGGGCTTGCATATGCGTATGCTAATGTACGTTGATTAATTAACCCCCACCACCCCGACTCGCGCAAGAAGAGCGCACGAGTGTTGTCACCACATCTACGCCTCTATTTAAGGAATGAAACAGGTGCGCTTCTCCACAAATCTGGCTGTCGCCTGATGAAGCGGGTTGTAATTACTGGCGAAACGTCGTACTCAGATTGTAAATGTTGTGGCTTGGCTCTACAACACACCGGTGTGCTGTGCTAGTGACGTATTGGCCACGTTCTGTTTACGTGACAACCCTCACTAATTGTCTGTGTCGGGTGGTGGCGGGCTAACGACACATTTACATATTTACGCGATCTAACACAAAAAAAGTCTATTATGGATATTGGTCGCAAAAGCCTCGCGACCAATATTAGATTCGAAGCTTTGTTTGTGTTCCCCATTGTTGTCGTCTCCAGGTGCAGTTGGTGGTGCTGCAGCACATGGCAGCACTGCGCAGAACGTACAGCAAATACAGCGGGCTGGGTGTAACGCACTCCCCAGACAACACGTTCATCCTCAGTCGGATGCAGTGGTGGCGTCTCCTCAAGGACTGTCGGGTGCATGTCGAGGGCCCTTCCTTGGCACAGGTCGATCGTCTGCTTTCCAGTAAGGCACTCACGGACATTGCGATGCCAACACAAAAACACTGGGAGTTGCAATGAGAGACGGACACGGGACACATGCTCGTTTCACAGAGAGGGTGCACTTGGTCGGCTCGTTAGCACGTGTCAGCAAGGGGATCCATATCAGCTACAGGATGAATTCACTGGGTGAGTGAAATCAAATTATGCAGAAGTTAAATTTAGATATAAAGCTTTCGTGACTGCAGGGATTCATCTTCTTGGTTCTTTCGGTAAAGTCACGTAGAATGGAAATAATAAAATAATAAAAAAATAATATAACATAACATAACAAAATTATTCTCACGACGTTTCGGCCACAACGCAACAGGACGGCTGCTTGCGTTGTGGCCAAAACGTCGTGAGAATTATTTCGTTGTTTATTTTTTCTTATTTTATTATTTCCATTCTACGTGACTTTACCGAAAGAACCAAGAATATGCAGAAGTTGCAAAGGTGATACTAGTTGAATGACCTGGAGGATGAATGGGAAGCTACACACAGACATGTACGTGATTGTGAAGTTTACAAGTAGGCCCAAAGGATATTTGTGAGACGCATACAAATATGGCATGCTGACATTATTATGATGGATATAAACCTGCTGCATAATGCGTGCTACGTCTTGTTTGTATCCCATAGCTTTTGAAGAACCCCTAGATCAGATCCACTACCCTAATAAACGACTGCTCATGAGGCAATTCTTGAGCAACTTGACCGCCCTGGGATACCACATGTATCACACAGACTACGCGTAAGTCTCCCGATTGCAACATTTGTCATTTTATGTATCCACAAAAGCCTTGGATTGTGATGTTGGGCAGATTCCTTGTTTAGAACATTTTTCTATTTAATATCTACATCACAATGTCATCATACGGTAGTCTATGTAATCCACCGATACCTATATATAGTACACACGTTTTATATGATACACAGTTTTAAGCCTAACCCATATCCAGGTTTAATTCCTCACTGAATATTTTTGGTCCAGCTTAGTCATGTGACCAGTAGCGGCTGCCAGAGAGAGATGTACTGCATGTGGTGGGGTGCTCGGTATTAAATATTTTCCGGGTCACAGACCCAGATAGATCCGGCTAAAATTTTACTTCCAGTTTTCCAATGTAATGCTTTATGTTTCGTGCTGTTTTGTGCAGGGGCAAAAGTGGTGAACTGGCCTGGTGTTTGTCACAGCTCATGAATAATGCCATCCTCCTGCACGCATGCACCATCAGGGGTAAACTACCCATTCCACTCCAGTTCCCTTTGCTATTGTGAAGTATATTCTGCTTTCACACAACATTATTGTAACGTTAAGCAAAACATTATTTTATGATAAATTCCACAATGAATAGAGCTTTTCACTTTGGAGAAGCTTCATCTTTTGAAAAGCAAATTAGCTCTTGAAAAACTTTGCCATGTTCTTTAATCACATTAGGTTTATACAGCGTGTCAGATTGTATTAACCCTTTCCCATTCCGAGACCTCTGTAAGTTGCAGGGTGGGTGTCCCGTTCACCGCCGAATCTTGGAACGGCAAGTGGCTCAGCGTTAATTTTATTTAGAGAGGCATAGCGCTGTTGCTTTTAAAGACGTTACTCACCGCAGCGAACTGGAGAAACACGACCGCACTCTACAATAGCTGGCGCCAAACTGTGCCACGCCCTCCCACATGACCTTGTGGGAGCGCCAGTACCGATAGTTATTTATTTAGTTTTTAAAGAAAAACTGATGACGTACACATGTCATCCGAATGGGAAAGGGTTACGTGTCACTGTTGCGTACAGGATCGGTGTTTGGAGAGGCTTGGCGTGCCCAGACTGCTCTAGAGTACGCATCGAAGAGCTGGGATATCTACAGCAGCCTTTGCAAAACCAACTTATATTCCCCGCACGAACCAATTCTCACTGCACGGAACTTCTTGTGGATGCTGCAGGTAAATACGCAGCAAACATGCGCTGTCCTGAGGGTGTGGAGGTATGGCTCTTTATGTCTGTGCTAATAGATGCATAAAGTTTAGGTGTCTAAGGGTATACAGTCCTTTACATTATGGATATCTTTGCAACAAATTTAGAATATATATTTATACGAAGCTTCATTCATGTTTCCAAATCAATATATCGGTCACAACACTTGAGTAATTGTCATTGCACAGAAGTTAACAGCTCATTCTGACTGCAAGGAACCAGGAATTAGCTCTGTACACCCGATATGACCTTCAACCTTGGTGAAAAGAATAAAACGAGAATTTCACTACTGTAATTGTATTGGGTTTAAGAAGCATCTGAACTATCTTGCCATTCCTCTTTGTTTTAGATTTTCGGAGTTTGTTAACATTTTGTAGAAAATGAAATCTTAGCACACCATTGGAGTGGTCTGGTGGGGATCTAAGCTCTGAAAATGCACTAGGATCTTGATTTGAAGCTTTCGTGACTGCAGGAATACATGTTCTTTGATTCTTTCAGTAAAGTCACGCAGCAGACCATGCTTTCCCACCTGATGACGGACGCTTGTGTTGCGCCCGAAACGTCGTGATTTATTTTCATTTTATTTTATACCTTCGTGACTTTACCGATAGAAACAAAGAGTATTCACTAGGATGTTCAAGTCCACGATCGAGCTATTATAGATGCTTCATATTACACGAATACAAATTACATTTATAGCAAAACACTGCAAAAAAATGCAGTATATATAATCAGAGCAATTCTACCAATCTATTTTTGTTTATGGATTGTTAATATAACCCTCACAATATTTAATTGTATACCATCAGCTGTGGGCCCACCAGGTATGTAGTTCACTGCCCCCTCTTGAGTACGGACACACTTTGACTAAACTTCAGTCTTTTATTGTTACGGCATCATATTTATTTTCCGTGTGGTGCAACACAAAAGCATTGTGATGATTTACAAGTTAACGTTATTTATTCAATTTAGACCTTTATTTATTTTTGTGTGTGTTTATATATATACAATGTTCATGAACAGTTGTATGTATTTTCCACATATATCCCTATTCTGTGTGGAAATGTATGTTTAACAAGGAATTTAAGCTCATCTCCAAGTCACTCTCAGCAGCAAAAGTCGTGGAGATTTTGAGTCTGGACAATCCGGCAATATCAGATGGGGCGTCCTGCAATCTTCAATACGAGGTATGTCAATTGTGGCCACTTCCATCACACGCTGGCTTTCATATACATGTAGAGCCGACACGAGGTTGGGGGGGGGGGGGGTCCGTCCTTTATTTCCCCCCAGTCCACACTTGCCCACAGCCCCCTCTCAATCCGTTCCCCGCCAGAATGCCCCGAGCCCCCCCTCCTGTATCTCGCCTGCTCCTCCCTCCTTCCACTGTTCCTGCTCCACTGCCCCCCCCCTCCTTTTGGTAGGAATCCTCTCCATGCCTCTTAACCCACTGTCCATCTTCATTCCTACCCATGACAACAACCGCCATTCGCCACTAAGTGGCGGTGACGGCACCACGACGCTTGTGCCAGGCTATGTGCACTTTGAGGCCACGTGAAGTGTTGAACGCCCGCTGGCAGGAGGTCACGGGGCAGACCCAGATGCCACACATCGACTGAGATGAATGGCTGACCCCTGACATCCCTTACATACACAAACATTTTAAAACGAAATTATTAAGTGACGTTTTTCGTGGTTAATCCGTGAATATAAATACATTTTATTCTTATGGTATATATTTTCAAACTTAATCTGTTAAATGTGTTAATTGTCACCTGGAGAATCCCTTTAGATGCAACATCTCATTTGCAACGGTGCCCAAGGGTGTCAAGTGATTCATATGTAGCATGAGCCACCCTGCCCACACCCAGAGGGTAACACTATTTCCACAGTTGTATGTTGAACTTCTTTCTTGCCGTACGTAGCCAGCCACGCTAATCGGAGGTGCGGGCGAAGGACACCAAAACTACGCCATTTGACCAGAGGCCAGATGGCGGGGTACTGTTTATGGCAGATCTTGGAGGTTGTCGCATGTTGCCTGTGCTGCAGCTGGCAGGCGGTAGAGCGTTGGCGAGGTGGGGTGGTGGCACATCTTGTGCAATTATACGATGACCATCGCACCTCAAACACGTAATACGTCTGGAAAGTTGTACGGTCGTGAGGTGGATTGATGTGTTCCGTGTTATTTTACTTCCCTATAGCTCACCTTTCTGGAGTTCTTTGAGGCTCTGGCAGTATGTGCCGAGGTGAGCGTGCCGGAAAGGTCGGATGGCCGAACTGCTGTGGAGCCCTGCGCCGCGGCAAACTTGGCTCACAGCTGCAGTGGTGCACGTGCGAGATGGAGCCAGAGGGAATCGGATCCACAGCAGCGATGGGGCCGGTGGAAACTCGAAGAGCCGCAAATGGCTCTGCCAGTGGACAAGAGTCAAGAGTCCACTACGCAAGAATTCACGACGCAAGAGTCATCACAGGCTACAACCCGAGAGTGGAGTCCCACGAATCGTTGTGCGTAAAGTAATTTCACACCCTTTGATTAGCACGGTTGGCTACGTATGGTGCGAAAGAAGTTCAACATACATACACACACGAAGCTCTTTCCAAACATTTTTACGTGCACTTTTTTTTATTCTGGAAAATTGCCCGATGATGCTGGATGTAATTACCAGCGAAACGTCGTGCTCAAATTTTTTTTAATGTTGTGGATTCACTCTTCAACACGCTGGTCGGCTAAAGTAGTGAACTATTCGTCTTTTGTAAACGTGACACATTTTTTACTGATTGGCCGTGTCGGGTGGTGAAGGGTTGCGACACATTTATAAATAACGCGATCTAACCCAAAAACCTTTATAATGAATATTGGTCGCGAAAGCCTACGTGTTAAACTGAATATTCGTTGTATTGTACTTCTATGCGCCCTGCCTTCACCAGCACTGACCAAATTGTAGGGACAGATAACCGCCACTACCTGTACGGTGTAGGCAGGCCCTAATCTAGCAGTGGATTGAGAAAGGGCTGGAGGTTAGTGATATTTACATTCATATGTCGTAAATGGTATACAAACGTCCGATTAAAATGATTTGAATCGCAGAATGTAATTCATGTTTGTTTTGCAGATGATGATAATACTGTGATTGAAGATGCCTGGAAAAACCAGCTGTCCGCGTTTTTTGTGGAGAAACTGTTTGGAGCATTTGAACGTAACGAGGCCCTGAAGGCTGCGGCCAAAAAGGAGCAAGACCAGGAGGCTGATCGTGCTTACAATGAAAACATCAAGGTCCGGCAGGCATGGTACGTGCACACAGAGACACGTGCAACGAGGTGGTAAGGTGGCTCAAGAGGTCACAGCTATCACATGCTCACTACCTCGCCTGGTATGCAGGTTGTGGGTTGCATCCCGACACCGACATCTGTATATTTGAAGTTTGCATGTTCTCCCCGTGGTCGCGTGGAATTTCCCCCCGGATCCTCATTTAGAACGACGCGTTTGGAGTATTCAACTGCTGTACATTTCCACGTAATAAGCCACTTTGTTGAGCTATCATTTGCGGCCAGGTCGCTTCTGGACAAACGAGCGATATAGCTCAGTGGGCCTTACCTGGTAAATAAAAAATAGAAAGTTTTTTTACTGCTGAGGTCCTGGGTTCAAATCCAGGCAGCTGCCTGTGAATAAACCCAGTGCTCAAGTCGTGTATGTTAATGGTCTCAACCTAGTCATCAATTACTACACGAAAAAAATAATTACTTCATTTGGTTACATTTTGCCTCTGACAATTATATCAGTTTGACCATCGTGTAATGAACCTGATTCTTATATGCAGGGCGAGTATAAAGTACTGCCCTCGACTGCGTGTGGACCAGACGTTCCCCGAAGGGATCTCAGACGTAGTTCTGTCATGTTCGTTTCTGTGGGCCGTTCTCTAACGTGAAGCGTCGTACTGCTCAGCGCAAAAGATCAGAGTGAAATTCTTCATCTCGGGACGTGATGCCGATAGCACAAGCTGGATATAACGGGGGAGGATTACAAAAGATGTAAAATGTGTTGATTTGAAGCTTTCGTGACTGCAAGGATTCATACTTTGTTTTTTTCGGTAAAGTCACGTAGGTAAAAAATCTAATAAATGATTTAGTTTTTTTCATTTATTTTATTAGATTTTTTTTATCTACGTGACTTTACCGAAAAAAACAAAGAGTATAAATACATGTTATTTCATTGGTTTGTTCCAATAGATGTATTTAAAGAGCAACATCTATTTATTTATTTAGGTCAAACCTAATGCGGATGTGAAATGTAGTTCTCATGATGGATAGAGGTCATCATCGGCCCTGATCAATGAATGCACTGCTGGATGAATGTCTCCCAAAATCTGCTACCCCCTCTCACAATCTTGCGATGCCTCCATATTTTATTTAGTTGCTTCTGGTTTTAATCGTTTATCTATTTTTATTAATCGTTTATATTTGTTTTTTCCCCGCGAACACCTCACGGGTCCCCTGTCTGAATGTACTAGGGAGCAGCGAATGGCTCTGGAGATGGAGGCAATGCACGCTGTGGAACGAGACGGACTAAACGAACAGGGAGCAACTCTCCCGTGGGAAGATGGGGCAATGGTGCGGCCCGATGAACCTCCCAGCAAGGAGCAAGAGAGACCCGCCAACTCCCCAGCTGTTACAAAGTCGACGTCTGCGGTGAAAGTTGCTCTCAACTCGAAGCCACATTCCGCCAAGGACAAGAAGAAAAAGAAGTGACCACATTCGTAGTGCCTTTGATGTATTCTTAATAATGTTTATTTTAAACAGCCTTTATTAAGAAACGTCTCAAGAATATTTTCACAAGGGTCTTGCATAGGAATGTTCGGCAGAAATGTGTTGACCTTTTTTTTTTTCATGTGTTAAGAAATTGGCATTCTGAGAATCCCTATGCATGTAAGGAAACAATGGATACAAGTCAACCAAGGCAGGTTTATAAGACCCACTTGCTATTCTGCTGTCTGCAAACCACCTCAGACGAGCTTGTGAAGGAGTTTCAACACTCAAAATAAGCGATTCAGCAAAAAGTTAAACTACGGTCCAGTCGATTCATGATTTAGTTGACAATTTTATACAAAGGCTTTCAAGACCAATGTTAAGATTCACAACACGCCACAGCCACAGCTGAGCTTCTGGTTGTAATCTCCAGCGAAACAGCGTATACGATTTGTCAAATTATTGTTTGCTTTTCAATGTTCCGGTTTGCTGAAGAACAAATTCACTTGGCACATTTAACCACGTGCTCTGTCGGGTGGTGGGGGGTTATATTTAATCTGAAATTATACCTACATGATCTGACTGAGAAATAAACGAATTATGAATCGTTTGTTTAGATACATTTTTGCTTATGGCGAACTGAATTCAGGATTGATTTTGAAATGTTTTTGTTGTAACATATTTTGCATGAAAAATACTCACTGGAATAAGAACCACATAATGACTTAAAAGTCTCAAATATCCAAAAAGTGTAAAGCACAAGGACGTACACAGTAACCACAACTCGCTGCACCCTCTGTACATCGTGCAGGATTATAGCTCCATGGCATCTGAAGACGTTGAACCTTTGCCTTCATCGTCTGTGGATAACAGAGCAAGTTACAGATAAAAAAATGTTGTCTTCCAAAACCAAAACAATAGCAGCACTGTTAAATGCGGTGGATGTCAACAACTCGGTAAAATAGAATAGTACCTGTCAAATAAGATGGTACAAATATGCGTAGTTAAATATTTTTTACATGGTTAATAACATCTTTCCAATGATTGCAAACAAACATGCTCTGATCATATACGCATTGTCCTTGAAATTGATTGGCCTTCTTTAGGGCCTAGTCTCACGAGTGTCAGACAGTACAAGGACAATGCACTATCAGAGCATTTCCTTACAAAAGGTTTATTTTTGGTGTTTGAACATCTTAACACCCGTTTTATTGCCAGAAAGGGGTAAAATCTATTCTTATTTTTACGATGCTTTTATGTTTGAAATAATAATGAAAGCTCTTAAGTTACACTTGCATTGTACAGGACGTGCATTGTCCCGGGGCTCGTTGATCCAGGGACTCTTGCAGCGAGGGCACACGCGAGACCGATTCCTCTTGAAGAACTTGGCAGAGCACGGAGCGTGGACCTTCACGCTACAGTTGGAACAGACTTGGCCCTGCAGTTCAGATGGCAAGGGTGGAAGCGGAGGGCAACATCAACAATGTAAATTCTGTCTGTACGTCTGTCTGTCTACAAACTGAGAAATGTGCACGGCTGTAAGAAGAGCCAACCGTTCAATGGTGCCAGCTCGGGGTGCGGAGGTCAATGTATGCCAGCACTTCCATCTCCACACAAGCTATCTCCATTATTTAAACTCACTACTCTAGGGGACGTCTGCCAAAAACGTTACCGAGGTGCAGCGTGTACTCTGGTCATCCTCGCAGCAGCGGCTTCTGGTTGGTTGGCCATCGAACAAAGACGGTCACTGCATCGCGCGCTTTCTGATGCGCTTCTGCGGCCGTCTGGAATGCTCTTCCTTCCGATATTAGGAAACCACTGGAGCTATGCACTTTTACATCTAGATTGAAAACCAATCACTTGAAAACCGCTTTGTGCTTAGCTTGTTGTCCTTTCCCCGCACCTCCGATTAGCGCAGTTGGCGACGCACAGTACTATTAAAACCATTTCTTTTTCACAAGCGATTTTTAAATAAACTAGCACAACAGACGGTCACATTACAGGGTTACGCTGGAAAGATATGCATACACAGGCCTGCGTAAAACACCCAGACCCACCTTCAGAGCGATTTTGTGACAAAGGTAGCAGATTTCAACATTGCCGAAGCGGCTACGAATGAAAGGATCCATTTCAATGAGGCAGCGTGGACTTAAACTTAAATATCCATTTTCCTGCAACAAAAATGCACACACAGTTCTGGGTTACACAATTGCATGCTGAAAATAATTGTTAAAAAGCGTTGTCAGTAGTAAGCGTTGCTTAAACCTCTCCCTTCCGATGACGTATGTAGCCAACCGTGCTAACTGGAAGTGCGAAATGCTAATCAGAGGTGCAGGAAACTCTATACAACTGCATTTACAAACTATTATTTAATACTTTTAAATAAATATTTATTTACGGTACAAATTATTATAATCAATGTTTATTTGTGTTATTATAATTTTAATATATTTAATAGCTTATTTATGCATTTTATTGAGGGTTAATCACGATCATTATCTGCAATTTTTTTGTATTCACGAGCATCTCCGAGGCATATCCCTCACGAATAACAAAAGGCATTCTTTACAAGTCATGAGACTGACAAGAGATGGTCGTAATACCTACCTCTCTGTATCTCCGCTGGGGGCTCTTGTAATCAATGTGATCAAGTGTGGGAAGCAGGAGTGGAGCGGTTGGCGCCCTGCACTACAAACCCGGTGCCACAAGTTAAATTCCTGCTCACGGCCACCACCAGTGACGATTATTATCTGAACCTATCCTGGGGCTCCCCCTAGGTCGACTCAGCCTCAGATGAGTACCTGCTGCGATGCGTAAACATCGCCACTGCGGAGACAAAGGCGGCCAGGCATGGTGCAGGCCACCCAGTCCCTCGTGTGCCGTGCCGGCCTTCATAGGTGCTACTCGCTAACAGCACTTGCTCCTACAGTCTGTTACGGCTACACGGTGGTGGGGGGGGGGGGGTCTTTGTTTGTGATGGCTCTGAGACAGGGGTTACCATGCATAGCCACTTGTCTTGCACCAGGCGCTGCAGCAGCAACTCGGCATTGTCCTTCTTCATCTTCTTGCACTGCAGCTGGTCAACCAGGTTCAGGATGTCCATAGAGGAGGCCATACCCACTCCGCTGTCGACTATTAGCTCCATCTGCTCGCACGTTGCGCAAACACAGAACAACGAAGAGCACCTGTGTATTCATAATCAACGTTTTTGGGTTTAGATCGCTTTATTTATAAATGTGTCGTAACCCTCCACCACCCGACACGGCCAATCAGTAAAAAAGTGTCACGTTGACAAAAGACAAATTAGTTCACTGCTTTAGCCCACCGGTGTGTTGAAGCGCGAAACCACAACATTTACAATTTGTAAATGTTGTGGTTTACAAATTGTAAATGTTGTGGTTTCGCGCTTCAACACACCGGTGGGCTAAAGCAGTGAACTAATTTGTCTTTTGTCAACGTGACACTTTTTTTACTGATTGGCCGTGTCGGGTGGTGGAGGGTTACGACACATTTATAAATAAAGCGATCTAAACCCAAAAACGTTGATTATGAATAATATTGGTCGCGAAAGCCTACGTGTTAAAGCACCTGTGTAGCTTGTGTAGTGACACATGGCCCAACAATAGTGCCTTTGTCGTTTATATTATAACAATTAGCACTGCCCGCACATTTGCACGGGATGTAACTCAAGTGAACTGTAAGTGACATGGATTTCTTGTGATTTGTTTCCCAATGACACTCGCTGGCCTACTTTCAATTAACAACAATATGACATTAATAACACAACCATGGAGAGACTTGCTCACACTCCAGGAATGTGGAATTGCCACTGCTCGTCCACGGCAGCCAGCAGAGGTGGAAACCATCCAACCAGCACTTGCTGGAACAAGATGATACTGCCGTCTGGTCCACAACCCTGTGAGCAAGCTGTGAAGGGGATAACCGTGCAAGTATGATGCTGGAACTTAATATTCTACCACCACCACACTCACTGTTTTGTTGAAGAGTTCAAGCTCAACCTCTGAGTAATCAGAAGCCAAGAGAGTGATTTCATTTTGTTCGATATTAATCTGAGAAAGGAAGACAGGCACAGCAACGTTGTTACGCTGTTGTGTTCAACGTATGTTCAGTCGCGCACATAACTAAACATGCATGAAAATCAAGACAATACACATTTTCAAGTAAAAGTAGGATATCAGGAAAATTCGAATCAGTCCGTTTTTTTCCGGGTAAGGCCCACAGCGGGATTTGTGGTTGCACTCGCATACACAGTCTGTTCTCCTATAACGCGGTAGTAGTTACGTCCCGAAGAACACCGTGTTATGGAAAAATCACGTTAGAATAAATCATGTATAATATAGGGTAAGGCACAGTCCGCGATAACATGTGAGATGCGTACGCAGGCTGAACAAAGACTGAGGCACGTGGATAGCATCGAGAATAATCCCGCTTGTTCCTACTCGTGAGATGTCGTTCTGTTCACTCGATCGCATTATATCCAAGTCACATCCGCATTATAAAATAAAGTGTTCCCTAATACATTAATCGGGTTATATTCAACTCACATTATGACAACACGCGGTGTTATAGGAGAACAGGCTGTATTTGATACCACGGCTCGGACATTAAAAACAATTCAATCCAAAAGACAGATTCCCTCTTTTACACCCCTCTTAAGGGGTGGCTCTCGGTATAAAAAAGTTTGCTTTGAAAAAACTGTTAACTATTTGTATTTTACCAGGTAAGGGGCCATCCATTTAGTACGTACGCAAAAATTTGTCAAAACTTGACCCCTCCCTCCCTCCCTGTACGCGCGCGTACTTTTTACACCCCCCCCCCCCCACCTGCGTATGTACGCTTGACGCAACCCCCCCCCCCACCGAATCCTATAGAACGGCCGATATTTAATCCATGCAGAAACGATCAAGGATTAATAATATTCACGTGTTTTAGCAAACAGATAGTCCACCACCGGACTATCCAACTCATTTGAAGGCCACTGTAGACAAATTATTATCGAGGCTTCAACACCCCCCGTCTCCTATGCGTATGTACATTGTCAGTAGACCCCCCATACGCAAGCGTACACAATTGGGTTAAACCCCCCTACCTCCTCCATGCGTACGTACTAAATGGATGGCCCCTAAGGCCCACTGAGCTATTTCGCGCTTTTTCAGAAGTGACCTGGCCACAAATGACAGCTCAACGAAGTGGCTTATCACGTGGACATTTATAGCAGCTAAACACTCTAAACGCACGGCGATTCTAAATGTGGAGGGAATAAACGGAGGGTCTGGAAAAAAATACACGTGACCACGGGGAGAGAGACACGAAAAAATCCAAATATACAGCAGGCGTCATGGTCGGGATCGCACCCACGAACTCCTGTATACCAGGCGAGGTAATAAATGTCTGGCCACTGTGGCACCCAAAAAGGCCAAGCTCTTCCAACAGCAGTGTCTGCAGGTGACTCACCAAGGCGTAGTGCGTTTTCCCATCCTCCTCGGAGGTTCCCTTTTGGATAACCATGAAGAAGGGCTGGATGTGGTTGTTGATAACGCCAATAAATGCATCCAGCTGGTCATGTGCATAATGTTCTGCGAAAAAAAGACACGCATTTCGGGAAGCATTCAGTTGCGTAAAGTATAAGAACATGGAAAGAAAAAAACACCAATGTGAAATATTTATCATTAAAGTTCGATGTCATTATTTGTTCCCACTGGGTTCGACGCTTTACATAAATGACACATTTGCTCCATACATGTGCTAAACACAGAGACCATGTTCTCACCATAGACCTCCCAATTGACAACAAAGAAAATTGCCCTTCAATAAAACAACTCTAAAATCAGAAGTGCCCGACAGCATCCGTTGATTTAACCATCTTGGCTGCCAAGTGTTCAGAGCCACCGAAAACAAACAGCCCTCATCTTGTAGAACCATACATAGGCTGTGTTTCATGCTGCCCAATAAGACTTAAGAGATTGTTCTTGAGAAGGAAAAAAATACCTTAAAGTTATGGTCAACCTATGGGTTAATAAATTGTAAAAAAAACAGCCGCTTGAGAACATCTAAGTGCAGGGTAATCGTAGACAATTTCTTGGAACCAAAACGTTTGTGGACGGAGTCTAGAAGAACCTTGGCTGGCTTACAGACATATGCCACCACCGCCGCCCAGCTAAAAAAAAATCTTGGAACTGAATAGTAGAAGATAAAGCGTCCAACAAGTTATTGAGTTTGGCCCTCACCTTTAAACAGGCGGCAGCATTCATTGTGCACTTTGACAGAGCTGGCAATGTCCAGGCACCCGTGCGCCATCATTTTTTGAAGGAACAAGCGGTGGCTGGAACTCATTCGTCCTTGCGCTTCCATGACGCTCAAGCTCCTTCCTGCCGGGCAACACATTTTTTCAGACAATGGGAGAAAGCAAATTTAATTAAACGCAGAAATTAAAACGCTAATCACGTATTCACCAGGGCTGGTATCATCCTGGGTTTAACCCAAGCTGGGTCGTGCACGGTACTGCTAGATCTGGACACAGTCCCATCGGTGAGCTACTTGGGCAGGCGAGGCTGCGTTGGCTGGGGTCACGTAGCCCGCATGCCAAAGCAGCTTCTGATCGGCCGGATAGATGGGGCTAAACGTGCACGGAAAGTGATACGAAAGGATCTAGAGCTGAGTGGACTTGCCGATGACCGGTACCAGCGGTGGTCAACATCGGCCTCTGTGTAGGAGGCTCGTGAAGGACGCTGCTGCTTCTGCTGCTGGGCAGTCGGAGGCAGTCGTCCTCCAGCAACAACGGAGGTCAGAGGGCATGCAGCAATCAACGTTTTTGGGTTAGATCGCGTTATTTATAAATGTGTCGTAACCCTCCACCACCCGACACGGCCAATCAGCAACAAAAAAGTGTCACGTTGACGAAAGACAAATAGTTCACTGCTTTAGCCCACCGGTGTGTTGAAGCGTGAAACCACAACATTTACAATATTTGAGTACGACGTTTCGCTGGTAATTGCATCCAGCATCATCGGGCAATTCGCCAGAATGGTGTCGGGTGGTGGAGGGTTACGACACATTTATAAATAACGCGATCTAACCCAAAAACGTTGATTATGAATTATATTGGTCGCGAAAGCCTGCTACGTGTTAAACTGGCATGCAGCAAGTTGGCACTGTGGGGGGTACAGCTGGTGCATCTGCCGGTCATCTCAGTCAAGTCAACCCATGGCACCCACGGGGTCTGTCCCATAACCTCCTGCAAAGCAGCGACCCTTGGACACACCACGTGGCCTAACGGTGCACCTAGCCTGGCACAAGCGCCGTGGTGATGGCACCTGTGTGCCTTACAAACATTGCCAGGCTTACGAGTGTCGGTCGTTGTTGTTGTTATCAGGCTGCGAGTGGCCGCTGGAATGAAAGGCCGCGCTCGTGTACACTGTAACTGTATATTCTAAAGTAACAAATATAAACATAAAGGCCGCCTTGAGCGAGAGGCGACGAAACGAAGACGAAACAGCGCGACCGATTTGCCACGTGCCCGAGTGGTTGTGGTCACGTGCCTGAGTGGTGGTCACGTGCCCGAGCGGTGGTGGTGGTCACGTGCCCGAGTGGTGGTGGTCACGTGCCCGAGCGGTTGTCACGTGCCCGAGTGGTGGCGGTGGCCACGTGCCCGAGCGGTGGTCGAACTCTCTTGGCGCAGTCCGATGGTCGTCGAACTCTGAGCGGCTGTTGCTGTCGTCAGATCAGAGGGTTTCCCCCCCACCCCGCCATTCACTTCCGTTTCTTCGCAGACACACACAGCGTGCCTGCTCTCACATTCTGTCGTGCGCGGGTGTTTGGTTGTGACATAATGTCTGTGGCGAAATGGGATTTGTCAAGTTTGGCGGTGTGGAGATGAAATAGGAATGTGGCACAAAACAGAGGAATGGATTTGAAAATTTACTATCCACCCCCTGTGACAACCATGACAGTGGTTTGACCCAATTCAGAAATACCCCCCCGTGAAAGGCATGACAATGGTATGACCTGAATTGCGTTATTGGTTACGTGGACCAGACTGGCTTGAGATGTAGTTCAAACAAAGATCCACCCTTAACGCGAACATCATTCTCATGGACATTTATGCCATCCGCTTTGCCGATATCCCGTGGGGAATTGGAAACGGGAGAAATCGTGGCCTACGCAATTTATATTCTTGACTCTACAAACAAAAAAATGCCCAAAAATGATCACCAATTATAAGTTTATTCACAAAGCAGAGAACCATCAAATCATGCTATAGAATTAATGACGGTACAAATGTGAACGGAACAATATATAGGAGGATGTGGCCAATGTTATGTTATTGTTCCATGTAACAGTTTATGTTTGATATATTCGTACCCTAACACTAAATTGTGCTGTATTTCAGAATTATGGATGAAAATATAATTTCATATAAACAAATTTGAAAGCCAAATCTTCCAGCTTAAGATATTTGAATTCCACATCAACCGGTTTAAATAAAATGGGGTTAGCTATAATTTGGCTAACAACAAAAACATCTGAGTGAAATGACCGATTAAAAGTATGCCACTGAATGACTATGAAATACTGCTACATTTACCTTTCTACCGCAAAATACAACCTTGACAAACACGTGCAAAGCAAAAGCCAACACATTTTGAAATATCAATTTGAACCGTTAATGCAATTTCGCTGGTGTATTTCTACATGGTAAAAACTGCAGATGCATGGTTTTATACTCTGTATCGATACTGCATCATTAAAGCGGTGGTGCAATGCTAGGATTTACAAATTCTGGCTTTAACAATACGTATATAAAATTGAATATGAAAACCTACATTTATAGAGTTTGCTGATTTCTTAAATGATTTCCTGAAGTGCACCAATTAGTCCTAGCTTGCGTTTGTAATCGTTTTGGTGTTGATTTGTTATGAGTGCTGCTGATAACGGAACTGATGAGTGGAATGGGGAAGGCTGCAAAATACAAAATGTTAAGTGACTTTCGTTAAATCATTTTCTACAAGTGGTGTGGTAGGTTAGTGAGGCCTTTGCTTGAGGCCTTTATCCAGGAAGAGATTCACCATAGCCAATAATGATGAAGTGGTGCTGAACACATTCTGTGCACAAATAATGAGAATACGGTAGTTGACATTAGCAGCACAATCAAGATGGGCACCAGGAAAAAACATTTTGCAACTGTATATGGAAGAGAACACAAGTGAAATCCTTGCACATTAATGCACCAACCTCTCTACTTATTATGGTAACAAAATACAGTTGTTCCAGGTTAACCAACATGCATTTCTCACTTTGTCTAAGAGTATATTACCTACCATATACTTATCAATAAATGGGAGAAATACAGTCGGTGTCTACAAGTGCAACGACCATGACTGAATAAAAAAAACATCCAAGTTTTATTCTGTGCTCATATGCCCAGCGCGATAAATATCAACTAAACCTATTTTGAAACACAATGCAATCATCTGCCACAGGCACAAATTGGAAGTCCACGCTGAGACATCTGAGCAATCAGCTGGAGCCCCAGTCGATCGAGGCTGCTCTGCTCGGTGTCGCCTTCACACGTTCTCCTTGAACATCTTTATCTTCGAGTCAAGCCAGATGGGTGGGTCTATGTTCCTGCAATGAAAAGCCATTACCTTACATCGTCAGTTACGGCAACCACGAGGGGTGCCTGAAAAGGCTAGGCATGGAAGAAGTGGTGGTTGAAGGGTGCATGTTCAGTTGAAAGTTATATTTTAAGAATATACACATTGTATATGAATATAAAACATTTCTAGGCGTTTGAAATTATATTGACTTGTCCTAAGCAGTACCTAAAGTACAGTACTTAATATTTACCGCATGTTTTTACAACAAGTTCTAGTTGCTTGAGTTACAAAAGAGAAATAAGTTAAGAGAAATGCTCATCATTGTATATGCAAATATGTCTAACATGTAAATGTTCAAACATGAATGAGATAATTACGTTATGGGTTTTTTTGTTCATACACATACAATGTTTAGATGGAAAAATACACGCATACCATACCTAAACATACAATATTGTGTAAAGTTGTCCATATTATATACAGGGGTATCAATTGTGGCATAAAATTGTTCTGTGATGTTTCGACCTACATTGTAATCTTATACAATGAAATCAACGAATACTGAGAACGACTCTGGCTATTAACTCCAGACCACGCAGCATATTTATGCTGCGTGGTCTGGGTGGGGAGGGGCTGGGTGGGGAAGGTGGGGAGGGGCTGGGTGGGGAGGGGCTGGGTGGGGAGGGTGGGGGGTGAGGCTGGGAGGGGCTGGTCACCCCGTGGTGCCCTTATAAAACTCAACGTTTAACCTACTCACGCCGGCTTGTGCCCGCCCTCACAGTCGGGCATATTTGCGGAATACACCACGCCGCCGTTGACCCTGGCCATTGACCGAGCAACCCAACGTTCCTACCAGCTCCCTCCGCAGCAATGTGTTTAAATGCCATCCGTGTATAAGCAGAGTGAACACCTGTCACAGACGACACTCCAGAAGTAGGTGCTGAACCAACGAGCAGTGTCCTTGTTGGGCTGACACCGATGGGTTATGATGCGGTGAGGCACGGGCAGCAGCCCCACCATGCTTCCCTGCTTCAGATAACGAAGAATCTGTGTTTCATCCTCCAGCCCCCTAACGCGTAGATGTCGATCCACGTGTACAGGTGCACGGTCACACGTACAAAAAAAATACAGTGGCACACACACGGACAAGTTACACGCCACGAATCGTAAAAAAATATTAGTCATGGCTTCCAGAGTATTTTGTTCAACTAAACTATTTTATTATTTTACCAGTTAAGGCCCACTGAGCTATAAATCTCTTTTTCAGAAGTGGCCTGACCACAAATTATAGTCCAATTAAGTGGCTTATCACGTTGAAATTTAAAGCACGATTGTGTTTATTTCATTTAATATATGTTTGTGGTAATTGTTTAAAGTACCATCTCGTGAAACGAAAACTGAAATGCGCTGCTGAAGATGTTAAGGGCGTACAGAGTGTGTGTGACCGTGAGGCTCGTGGCGCTCCGATGTGTGGTTCTTTCATATTTCTCCCATAATCGCTCTGTGCCAGTTTTGATTATTTAATATTGCTCTAAATTTCTTTAAAACTATCCCCAACTCTGCCTTTCGTAATTTTCTCTCTTGTTCTATCTTTATGTCTATGCTTTTATTATCTCTCTATCGTTCCCCTTTCTTATTCCAATATAGAGTAAAACCTTGATTGCGAGTAACTTTGTCTGCGAGTGTTTTGCAAGACGAGAAAATGTTTTAAATAAATATTAATTTGATAAACGAGCGAGGTCTTGCAATACGAGTAGTACGTATACGCTTTGTCTGCCGAGCATCACGTGATCACAACTGATATACGAGTGCTTTGATATACGAGTGCTTTGGATTACAAACACGTTTCTGAAACGAATTATGCTCGCAATCCAAGGTTTTACTGTAGTGGCAGCTTTACTGTAGTTCCCTTCACCCATTTCTCTTGTTTTATGTTCCTTATTTGTTTCGCTACCTTTTTCTGTCACGATCTCTGCCCGGTTTAAATTTCAAACAACATGCGACAATGCATAATAACACGCAGCCTTTGTGCATATGGAAAAAAAGTGCATTCTGGTCCCATTGTCTTTGGTCACCATCAAAATAAATATGAGCAAATGTAGCATACGGAGAGTAGCAGTGATACTCAACTTTGGATCGGTTTCATCCTTGTTTTTCGGTTTATTATTCACCACAACCACAAGTGAGCATAAGCTGTGTTAATAAATGAGACCACCTGTACGTATGAAATGTGTACTGTGCGCAAGTTCAACGTACATGTGCGTGCTTCTCATCTTACCTCTTAAGGCACAGCATTTTCACTTGAGGGACCAACACATGCAGCAACTTCATTATCGTGTTCAGAGGCAATTTGGATTTCCACGAAGACACCTGTTTAAATAACACCGCATTAAATGTTTTAATACGTTCATATAATACGTATTTTAAACGTCAAATGTCCTAGTTATTGACAGATTATACGTAAAATATATTACATTTTACGAATAAATTGTGATTTTCTAAACAGCTGTTGCACAAGGGAATATAGTGTCAATCATCGTGGTGGTGGTGGAAGAGCAGATAGGACATGCAAGTTTTGTTTATAATAGGTCAAATTTTTTTTTACGTGTTTATACTGTAAACAGCACATTAAGTGAATTTCACTGTTGTCAATGCACTCTGATTTTTTTCATTTATTGTACTTGTGTATTGTTTTATGATAACTTGTAAAAGAAGAATGCAATCAGGTATTTATTTGTACAATTTAAACGTTAATGTTGGTACATTGAGTTCATCGTTTACATTTCATTGCGAAGTAAAAACAATAAAAAAAGAACTTAACATTTTATCATGCGGCTATCAATTGAGTGGGACGTAACGTAAACTGTCAGCCCACGCAAGGGGTAGATGAATGGCATTAGAGGATTTTACTGGTAGGAACCTCCTGGTTACACCAGTGTATTGTGTCCGTCCGTCCGTCATGCAGGCAGGGACTGGGTGGGGAGGGAGGGACTGGGTGGGGAGGGGTGGGTGGGGAGGGGCTGGGTGGGGAGGGTGGGGCTGGGTGGGGAGGGTGGGGAGGGGCTGGGTGGGGAGGGGCGGGGAGGGGCTGGGTGGGGAGGGTGGAGCTGGGTGGGGGGTGGGAGGGAGGGGTGGGGCTGGGTGGTGAAACATCCACGCGACCACGGGAACAACACGAAAACTCCAAATATACGGGCATTAAGGAATGGATGTCGGTTGAACAGCTGAATTCATGCAAACTGGTGTCCACTTGGCAAATTCATTTATTTTCAATTTATAGCTCAAATTTAAGACAATCTCAACAAGAAAACT